ACGGTGGTCACTGATCTAGGAAAGTAAATTCAAATTTTAGTTTACACACATTGTGTTAACAATTTAGATCTGCCACCTTGGAAACAGCTTCATTTTTTTCTCAGAGCAACTGATGAAGGCGGAAGCCAAACTGTTTTGCTAAAAGAATTTAAAATTCTGTTGTATGTAATAATAATATATATTAGCAATTACCGATTCCTTTTTGAACTGTAACTATATGGGCTAGATTCTGATGCAGCAATGTGTGAAATTGCCATTTTTTAATTCCTTTCGAATTCTAGAGTTGCTTTTCCAGGGGCTTTATATTGCAAACAGTCATTCAGGTGTTATTCATTTTGTGAACAAAGCTTATGCGTACTCTGTTTTGCTTTATACAGTCATGTTATAAGCATTGTTATTCTGCCATTTGCCAAACACAGTGAGCAGAGCTTGATGGAATGTATCCAGACTTTTGTTTGTTTGTTTTGTTCCTTCCTTCAGTCACTCCTGGCCTGCCCACCACTACCTTTTCATGTACCTGTGTACATGCACCATTTTTAAAAATCACTAAAAGTACACAACTGCAAATGTTACCAGGCCTTTTGCAGTGGGCAGAATGGAGGTTTGTGCTCCATATTAATTTGCTTATTTTTTAATCCTATGTAAGTCTTGCAGTGTGAGGTATTCCTCACAATTACTGTGTGAAGAACAGGAGAGAAAAACTTATCTGAACTGGGTTGTTGAAATTCAGGGGTGCCTACAGCATGTGGCGATAGGTGTAGGCTTTTGGTTTCAAGAGGTCAGTAGAAACAAAATTACTAGATTGTGCTCAGGTGAGGAGCAAACAAAAGTAGTGCTGTGGCAACAGACACCACCTGCCGAAACAACACCATACACATGACAAACCACCCACTCAAAAAAACGTGTTAAAGAGCGCTTTCACACCAGCAGTGATGGCAGATGTGTAACAGGTTATTTTTACTTACTGAATTTTCCACCATAAGGGGAAATTTGGGCTACGTGTAAAACAAAGTACAGGCTGGCATTTTGATGAAGATGTTTAGATGCTGCGAAAAAACTTGTGCTCATCAGCAGCACCAATTCCACAATAAACTCCCACGTGGAAACATTGTAGTTTGCCCTGTAGTGATTGAGACCGCAGCTTAAAACTATGCACCCAAAAAACAGGTCTTTCTTCTTTACTATCTTAATAAATCCAACTTTGGAAATCCAAGATTAGACATGTGCTTATTTCCTGTAGAACCTTAAATCATAAAACACTATTTTCTAGTTGTATTCCATGGTCTGTACTTCTTTCATTGTCTAAAACTATTGCACAAAAGCAACAAAGTGTAATAAACTCTCCACATAGTATACATCTTTTTTATTTATTCCCCTTCCTATATATTTCCATGGTGCATATCCTCAGGCTGACGTTAAGTATGCCAAAGGGCCTATGTACTCCCCAGTGGGATTTTTGACTTTGGTGGTGGTTGTTAGGAGATTCTTCTCTCTTTTAAAAGTGATTTGTCATGTAGCACAAGCAGCTCCTTTTCAGAAAACTCAGTTCCAAAGCTCCTTTAGTTGTACAGAACTAGCTGGGTGGTTATTTGGATCCTGCCATATGTATTAAGCATTCTGGTTTTTTTAAAAGAAGAAGCTGCTGCTCTGGAAGCCTTCTTGGTTACAGGATAAAATCTCTCTCTTACTCTCTCAGTGTATACACTGGAATCTTTAGCTCACCCCATTCAGAAGGGTAGTAAAACACTAAAACATATTTAAAACAATTGCTTAAACATGGATGTAATTGAAAACTGCAGCCCAAAGAAGGATGCACATTTGAAGTGTAGACATTTGAAACAGGAAACCCACAAAATGCTCTTACTTAACACATGCAGTGGGAACCTGGTACACAGATGGCATCTTTGAGTAGAGCTTTTGTGGTCAGTCTTATAGCCTAGATTTCTTTTTTTAAAAATGAAAGGAGGAAAAGAAAGAATGCCACAAGCTTTTCCTACAGAAGGTCTCATGTTGAACCCCCAGCATCTCCAGGTAGGAGACGAGATGAGACAGGCTCTTGTTTGAAGCCCTGGAGAGCAGTTGCCAATAAGGGTAGGCAATACTGAGCTAGATAGACCAATGGGAGATTTCTGTGATCCAGATCTTTCTACAAATCCCATCTTAAAGGTAAAGGTAAAGGGACCCCTGACCATTAGGTCCAGTCATGACCAACTTTGGAGTTGATGCGCTCATCTCACTTTATTGGCCGAGGGAGCCGGCATACAGCTTCCGGATCATGTGGCCAGCATGACTAAGCCGCTTCTGGCGAACCAGAGCAGCGCACGAAAATGCTGTTTACCTTCCCACCAGAGTGGTACCTATTTATCTACTTGCACTTTGACATGCTTTCGAACTGCTAGGTTGGCAGGGGCAGGGACCAAGCAACAGGAGCTCACCCCGTTGCGGGGATTTGAACTGCCAACCTTCTGATCGGCAAGTTCTAGGCTCTGTTGTTTAACCCACAGCGCCATCCGCGCCCCTTAAATCCCATCTTACTAGTAAACTATTTTAAATTACTGCAAAAAATGTATTAGCATTACCATATGCATGGGCTCACATTCCTGGGTTGTTTGCACACCTTTTATGAAGTCTGTGTTCCATGCAACTACAATCACAATATTTGTGTTGGCATTATGTATTTAGTCAACTTATACACTGCTTTCCCCTTCTTTCCTGTTGGTCCCCGGTGGCTTATAAACAATAAACATATGAAGTAATTCCCTAAAACCAAAGAGCCTAATTGCAACAAATTTACCCCATAAGAGCAGTGCAGTTACCTAGTATTTGTCTTATACTTTTAAGTAGATAGGTGTGGGAGGAATGTCGCCATAGCTTCTCTGGTTTGTTGGGCCTGTAGGGAATTGTAAACAGCTGTTAAAACAGCTGTTCATCTTACTATCAATTTAAAGAAAAATAGTTCCTTTTAGATGATCAGCTAAATAAGTATTACACTGCACTGCAAGCCACTGCTGTGCGTGCCCCTGTGTACAGATCACCATTTGTCTGGTGGCGCAATGGCTCTGGGCAGTCAGGAGGAGAGGTTCACCTGGGAAGGTCGCTAATGCCTGGTCTGCACCACTGGTCATCTCACATGGCTGTGTTGAATGGGCGCTTCCCATCCAAGTGGAAATAACATTCCAACAGCAAGGGCTGATTGGAATGGCGTCCAAGTCCTTGTCCTACGGCCATCACCAACCCTGCTTACCTTTTGCATAAACCCAATAAAATGCCTCTTTTCAACCTGTAGACAGTGCTTTGCTAGCTCTGCTCAATGCTTCCCAGGCACCGAGCATAGGATTGGCAAAGCCCTTTGTGCAATGGGTCAATTGATTGCCAGGCGCTTGGGAATGCTACACAGTGGGGCTTTGCAGGCGCTGGCAATCTGATTGGCCTGCAGGCCAGAGGTTCCCTACTCTTGATGAAAAAGTTGGGAGTGGAAGAACTGTGCCTGGTGACATTGGATATGGAGTCACTGCACACATTTTGGCTTTCTACACACTTGTGTCTAGACTGAGCAGGGATAGAGTACTCCAGAATGAAGATTATTGAGGCATGAATGGTGTTTGCTAGTTGTGAACTGAAAGGAGTTATAGCAGCCTTTTCACCACGTGGGGAAATGTGAAGCACCCAAGACCAGAAAATACCATTATTATTGCTTCTCTTTATGTTCTAAAATTAAATTCTGAATTCAGTTATGCAGCAGAACTCAAAAAGTTCTATGCACTTCAAATATACTTGGGGATAACTATTTTGTTTGTTGCCAAAAATACCTATAGTCAGTTATAAGCCTACAGCACTCACTCGGATCTGCTTGCATTGATTAACTGGCAAAGGCCTTGTGAACATCATTAAAATAGTTGCGAACTGAATTTTAAGGGAATTCTACACAAGTTTGAAATTTTTAGCAGGAGTATGAACAATATTTTGTTTGTTTGTTTTCTACTGTATAAATCTGGCATCTGTTTTGTTTCTTAAATGTCCCCTGGTGCTGGATAATCCCCAAAAGTGATGTCCTCTCAAGGTCTTTATCTCTTCAAAGCTTCCCAGTAAATAAGATACTTTGCAGTATTTTTGGATAGAAACTAGGCAAGATGTAGCAAACACCATTTTCTTTTTCCTTTCTCTCTGGCAAACATAATTCTCCCCCACAGTTGTTCCTTCACAGTTGTCACAGAAGCAGGTCAAAGAAGAGCAGCTAACCATCCACTGAGCTCATTCATAATCAATCACTTGGCAAGTTGCAAAGCTTGGTGATTAATATGAAATTATTTACAATGCCAGCTGCTGCTTGTCTGAGATGCTGTGGATTCCTTTATAGCTCAGTGACAGGAATGTGGGGTGGGTAGGATTTAGATGTTCTACTTGCAAGCCGTTGGCAGCAATGCAAAGGCCACATTACTCTAGGTTTTAGAGCAAATTCAATAAAAGCAAAAGTGTTGATCCTTGGGCTTTATTGCGAGAAAGCAAATGTGTGGTTAAATTTTATATATATTCAGAGACATAATGTAGCTGACCTTGCTGTGTGTTGCAGGTGACTTAAAACGAAATTATATTTTGTATTTTTTCCAGGGGCATGGTTCCCTCATTCTAGGGTCTGAGAGGGGAATTTGGGGGTCCACAGCCTTTGACTTAGCTTGGTAGCCAGCCATTATTTGTGGTTGCCCTTTCTGTCCTCCAAATCGTTTAACACACTTGAAGGACTGAGGAGAGGAGAAGGGTTTTTTTCTTTGCACTAGAACTGGGAAGCATTCGGAAGCTGCGATAATGTTCCTTGCCCTTTCTGAAGAAATTTTTTCTGAGGTGAAGTTTTTTCATTTTAAAACATATAAAGATTTTTATACTGAGTGGAATGTAAGGGTAAACAGTTATGTAAACTTTGCCTTGCATTCCTGCTAGGAGCTGTGGAGCTTCTGTGTTTCAGCTGGAGGCCAGTAGTTTGCCTGAGTGACAGTTAAACTGCCATCGTTTTCATTGTTTCAAACAAAGATCATTTTGTGAGGGAGGCTTCTTGTCTTTATATAAAGGATTCAAAGCATCAGAAGCTGGTAAATTCTAACTGATCAGCTGGTGGGCATTCTGCTTTATCCTACTTGAACTTAGTTATATGGCAATGAGGGGGTAGAATAGTACCAAAATTGAAATTATTGGCCCAGGGAACAGGGAGAGTTGTCAGGAGTGTATAAAATTGATGTGCAGCTGTTAGTTAGCTGAAGAGCTGGAAATTGGAGTTCTAAAGTTAAGACACCAAGGGCCAGATTTAGCCAAACAGTTGTGTTAGCAAGACCCAGCTCAAACATCATCATCATCATAATTTATTATTTGTACCCCGGCCATCTGGCTGGGTTTCCCCAGACACTCTGGGCAGCTTCCAACAAAGACCAAAAATACACTAAAATGTCACACATTAAAAACTTCCCTGAACAGGGCTGCCTTCAGATGTCTTCTGAATGTCAGGTAGTTGTTTATCTCTTTGACATCTGATGGGAGTCATAGAATAATAGAATTGTAGAGTTGTAAGGGACCCCAAGGATCATCTAGTTCAACCCTCTGCAATGCAGGATTCTCATCCAATTTGAAACAATACCGGATCCTGCTTTGCCTTGCAAATGTGCTTTATTGCTGCATCACAAGGAGGATCTTCTTACTGTTATAGCGGAGCTTTGCTCCCTCTCCACCTGTGCGCACACATACACCCCACCACAACCCCCTGAAATCCCCCGGAATAGCACAGGGATGAGGAGATTGCTCCTTCTGGTAAGCAGGAATGCTTGCACTGATAGAACAATCAGAATTGTAAATTAAGATGTGAATTAAATGTGAATTAAGAAGTGGCTCAAAGAGGCTTGAGGAGCCAAGAGCTAGGCTCCTTGGGCTAGGACTGAAGATGTTTGTGGGGAAGAGATTACAATTCTAGATGCAGCCTTCAGGTGAATTCCCCCAAGTGGCAGAAGGGTTGCTGAGAACCTGAGGCAACAGTGGGGACTACTGGACCGGGGACAAGACTGCAGCAGAAGTCCGGAGAGGGACTCTGGATGGCAGTGGCTGTGAAGCTGATTGAAATCAGTTCCTAGTTGAGAGCTATTAACTGGGAGTACTATAGCAGGCACATCCAACAGGTAGATCATGATCTACTGGTAGATCACTGAATGTCTATGGTAGATCACTAGCACCCCCCAAAAAAACTCAACACTTTCTGCCCTGTACCCCCCCAAAATGGGGCTTTCCTCCTCCCTAAAAAAAGCCCAACAACTTTTACCTGAACCCCCCAAAAGGGGGTCGATCACTGCCAGTTTTTAACTGTGAGTAGATCGCCGTCTCTTGGGAGTTGACTAACCCTGTACTATAGGAACAACATATGTTTGAGGTTTTATGGTGCTTTTAATATTTTGTTGGGAGCTGCTCAGGGTGGCTGAGGCAACTCAGTCAGATGGGTGGCATATACCGTATTTTTCACTCTATAACACGCACCCGACCATAACACGCACATAGTTTTTAGAGGAGGAAAATCCGTAGGCATGCCACCCGTAGGCATTCCCTCCATAACACGCACAGACATTTCCCCTTACTTTCTAGGAGGAAAAAAGTGAGTGTTATGGTGCAAAAAATATGGTAAATAAAATTACCATCATCGTTATGGTTTGGATAGAGAGAGGAACTGAAGCTCACATAACTACCCTCTTAAAGTGTCAGGGACCATATTTTGTGTTTGATACGCCTTTTAAAATGGCAGTAATCTAATAGTGTGCATTCTCGTTTAAAGTAACTATAACAAAGTAAAGCTAACCACCTGTTTTATTAAGTAACCATACATACCTATCTTTTTATATTAAATATATTGCACTTCATTTTTACTTTATATTTGAACCTCTGTACTGCTTGCCCTATTTCTAACCATAGCTTCTGTGGATAAAATGTGGAAGAAGATAAAACGGTTCTGAGATACATGGTGGCAACACTCGCAGAGGGTTAAGAAAAATAAGCAATAGGTCATAGCAGGGAAAACTACCTCATTATCATTGAGGGGATCCCCACACCCCTTAAGACCCAAAGCACAATGCAAGGTGAGTTACGATCTTGCCCTTTCCCCTAAGAACTGCTTCATCCTCTCAAGTTGTGCTGGGGTTTGGGGGCAATTAGGAGCATCTGCTTCTAGTTGTCTTCACAGCTGAAGCCAAATTGACAGAACAACCTTGTAATTTTCCACAAGTCCTCTGGATGTTGGGAGAAAGGATGGGATCATTCACTCACTTTGCGCCATGTTTTGGAGCCACTTCAAAGCAGCAATTATGCTTCCTATTCTGAGCCTGTCTGAACCCTCCTTTTTCTCCGAGTCTTCCATATATGCCAGTGGACTTATGGAAAGGTTGGTGTCTGTCACTCCTCTCCAGCATGAAATTAAAGACTCCTTCCCCTCCCAAGTTTTCACAATGTGTCAAGATCATGTTCCTGAAGCCCTGGTGTAATTCACAGGTACATTTGAGTATATTTCTTCAGCTTGCAGTCTTGGTTACAGGAGTGTCTAGAGTACACCTTTAATTAATCTATTTATGAATTTGATGTTTTGTTATTTACTGGGACGTGGGGTGGGGTGGGGAATCAAGCACTGTGCAAAGCAGATGGTTTTGGCTTAAATGTTAAGGCTGAATAATTGTTCCTCTGTGTATATATTATTATTAATATTATTTTGTATTGCTTAGAAATCTACCAAGTCCCATTTCATTTTCATTCCTTTGAAAACCTCCCCAGGTGTAAACAAATATTTTTGTTTTGCTTTACAAGAAAATAGCCCTGGTACATGTTACTCTAATATAACAGAACACTATTTAAGAGGAATTCTAGAATAAATCTATAACAAAGAAAACAACTTTCTTCCACCTCAGACTCATGGTAATTTATGTATAACCAATCTTGGTTATTATCTTCATTTCTTCTTTGAATCCAATTGTCTTCTTTCTTTAGTTTTCTCTCCTTCGTTGTTTTCCTGATGCTAACTTTACATTGTGTCCTTGACCTTGCATTAATTGTATTTTAACTTACCTATAATATTTTATTTCTCTGTTGTGTTTGTTTGTTTGTTTATAAAACTTAATAAATACAATTAAAAATAAGAGAAAATAAAATAAATCTCTGTTTGGGTCAGTTTGCATATTGCTGTTGGTTCAGATTTTTTGGTTGGTTCAGTTTTTTTTATAAAGGACAATACATTCAAAAATATTATTCTGTATGCTCCAAAGGCAAGACTTCCTAAACATTTCTTTATTCAGATCACCTCTTCTCCCTAATCTATTGTATGCATTGCCTACCTACTCAAAACAGTTGACCTAGATATTCTGCAACCAAATACATGTAATATGTGAAGGGTTACATGTCCTTTCCATCCACTGCTTCAAGAAATAAAAAAGGGTTATTGGGCCACATTGCATGCTTTTTCATATAGTTTGGTGCTCTTAATCTTTATTTCCTGAGTTGTCACCCCAGCTCCACATATTTTCAGTCACATATTTGTAATTCTGTACCATGTTGCATCCAACTTAACAGTGTGGAGCCCAGCTGCACTTAAATAACATTTGGGGAGCATTCATCTTATAACCAGGGTAAAGCAGAGCAGTCGAAACTTTTACGGAAAGCCAGCAGATTTGTGGATGTTATTCTTGGGTCAGTCTGCTAGGTAATGCTAGCCTGCCATTTTGGGAAGCAGTTAAGCTACAACAAAAAAGGAAGCAGTTTCCCTTCTTAGGCCTGTATTATTATTCTGCTCAGCAGCAAATATGTCCGGAAGGTGAGCCAGTCTGGTGCAGCAACTAGCGTTCTGGGCTTGAATCTAGGAAACACAGCTTCACATACAGTACCTTCTTGCCTTTGGTCTGGCTCTACCCAAGACACTATTGCTCAAATTGATCAACTTCATAAGGTTGGTTGTGGGATGAAATGTAACTCAAAGGCAGGCAACAGTGGTCCAGTAATTGGGAAATGTTAATATAATGTGTGTATAGATCTTCAGTATAGCTCCTTGCCCCAGTGCCGTGGTTTAGAGCAGAGGTAGCCCTCCATATGTCATTATTAGACTCTAGTTCCTATCAACCCTGCCCAGAAAGGCCAATGGTCAGGGACGATATCAGCTGTAATGCAACAATATATGGAGGGCAGTATGCTGGCTGCTAGGGACGCGGGTGGTGCTGTGGGTTAAACCACAGAGCCTAGGACTTGCTGATCAGAAGGTCGTCGGTTCGAATCCCCATGACGGGGTGAGTTCCCGTTGCTCAGTCCCTGCTTCTGCCAACCTAGCAGTTCAAAAGCACGTCAAAATGCAAGTAGATAAATAGGTACCGCTCTGGTGGGAAGGTAAATGGCATTTCCGTGCGCTGCTCTGGTTCACCAGAAGCGGCTTAGTCATCCTGGCCACATGACCCGGAAGCTGTATGTCGGCTCCCTCGGCCAGTAAAGCGAGATGAGCGCCGCAACCCCAGAGTCGGCCACGACTGGACCTAATGGTCAGGGGTCCCTTTACCTTTACCTTTTATGCTGGCTGCTCTGGTCTGGATACAGTCTTGGGTGATAGTCCATGTTTGTCTTCAGAGTTGCACTGAAGTGACCTTTATACCATGCATGAGCAAAACTAGGCTAACCAACTGTCACCATCTCACTTCTTTCTTTATGCCTAATTGGTAGTGGATCTACACAGTTGCAACATGTTGTGGATATATCTGTCTTATTTTACTGAACCTACTGCATTGCTCTTACATGCATTATACTAGTTCAGCTAGATATAATCATAGAATTGTAGAAACTGGAAGGAACCACAAGGGTCATCTAGTCCAACCCCCTGCAATGCAGGAATCTTTTGCCCAACGTGGAGCTCGAACCCATGGCCCTGAAATTAAGAGTCTCCTTCTCTACCGAATGAGATATTAGACAAGCAAAATGATTAAACCAAAGATAAATGTAGTAAGAAGAGCAAAAAAAAAGTCAGGAAAGCAATTTGCCTGGATCACTAATACATATGTGGTGGCTCTGTCCTCTAATTATTCCCTTCTGGAATGCAACCAATTAAGACTTTATCCTCCATTTACTAACAGCAGCTGAATTAATGGTAGCAAAAAAATGGGAAAACTCTAGATGTCTCTGAAATTAGCCTGTAGGAAGATGACAACCTTACCTAATGGACAGGAAATCCTGAAATAAAGACTTCACAATCCTATATGGGTTTTAAAAAGTGCTTTGGAAACCCAGTCTTATTAATGTACAACATGCAGCAAAATCCTGTGTGCATTTATTCAGAAATAAGTCTTGCTATGTTCAATGGGGCTTCCTCCTGAGTATGTGTTTACCGTTGTGCCACTGTGCAGTCCAATTCTATATATGCTTACTCAAAATTAAGCTCCAATGAGATCAGAGGGACTTACTTCCGAGTAAGTGAATATAGATTTGCAGCCATTAATCTAGAGGAGGAAGCAGAACCGTGAGTCGATGGTTTGAAAATTTTATTTTTGAAAGTAGTCAGTTTTGCCAAAGCTTAACAGAGAGTTAACAGGGAGAGGTAAATTGGGTTCAATTGAAAGGAAAAGCACAGTAATATATATTCAGGAACAAAAAGCAGCAGAGTCTGTGGAGCTTGATTTTAGCTTAGGCAGGTTTTACCACAAATATAGCTAAACCTTAATAGATAGTTCAGGCATGTTCCAATTTCCATAATGCCAGTAAAAATGAATAAAATCCAACCAAGCCAAAACAGTACAGCTGTCTTCTTCTCACCTCTCAGTCCCCTCTTGATCGATAAGGAGATAACGTGAGCAATCTAATGGGCACAACGAAGGAGGAAAGTAATACTGTGTGGTTTGCTGTTCTGCTTAGCCACCTTCTGTCCCAGACAACTTCCCTCTTCTCCCATGTTCTACTTTTAAGGGAGGAGGAGGAGGAAAAAGCTAAATGAGAGGAAAGTGAATTGATAAAATAATTCTATGGCCAGCACTGCTTGCCTTCCTGTGACTCCATCTGCTCCCCTGGCCATGCCCCAGCCCCCCAAAATGTAGGGAGCTGTGGTGATCTATCCATCTATAAGCATAGCATGATACCCATTTTACTGGGGTTGTTTTAACTGCAGGCACCTGGGTTCGAATTCCTGCCCAGCTTGGTGAGCTGGAGCCACTCACTATCTTAAGTCTACTCTACCCATTGAAGGGACCATGTGCCAGGCCAGGCCGGTTCCTGCAATCACCAGGCTTGCAACTTTTGCAGATACCACCCCAGCAGATGACATCATTGCTCCTCCTGTGAAGAGAGCTTCAGAGCTTCTTGTGCTGCTTCTCCACTACACCAGGACTCAATGTCACCTCCTCTTGTTTTAAATGTGGGAGACGATGGAAGCTAAATCAGGATGCCTGCAAAGATTGCACGGGAGAGGAAAGCAAATAAATGCTTGGAGAGGAAGACGACTTGCTCAAGGGGTGAGGCATTAGTGGAGGAAAATCTAGTGGAGGGAACCTTGATATCCTATGGAACTCACAGGCCACTAGATATAGATATAGATATAGATATAGATATAGATATAGATATAGGTTACAATACTGTCTACTAGTGGAATCAACTTTTGAAGATAATCCTGGACAATAAATATGTTTAGTTGCTTATTCTGGCTTGTATCCAATGTAGCACTAAATAACTGGCCCAGCAGCATAAGGGTTTTGATTGATTGATTTTGATTTATTATATTTCTATGCCTCTTTTCATTCCAATGAATCTCAAAGCGACTTACAACCAATAAATAACCGTAACATAATAAAACATAATAGCACATCGCAAATACAGCATACATCATATAAAATAATTAACAAAATAACAATAAAGCAGTAGCAATAATAATAATAAAAGCTTGACAAAACAGCAACTAAAGAATAAGCCAAACCTCGCAATTATGGCAAGTCATATGATTAACAAATCAATGCGGCATTTAGAATCTATAAAACGATATTAAAAACATTAACAAAATAGCAACTAAAAATATAAGCTAAGCACTAAGTTCATTCACACACTCTCTGCACCCCCATGATTCATACCCTCTTCCCTTTAAAACAAAATATAACTATACAGCAAAGCAAACCGACAAGACAATAAATACTTATCGAAATAATAAGGAGTACATTTATACTTGGGATGCGGGTGGTGCTGTGGGTTAAACCACAGAGCCTAGGACTTGCCAATCAGAAGGTCGGTGGTTCGAATCCCCCCGACAGGGTGAGCTCCCGTTGCTCGGTCCCTGCTCCTGCCAACCTAGCAGTTCGAAAGCACGTCAAAGTGCAAGTAGATAAATAGGTACCGCTCCGGCAGGAAGGTAAACGGTGTTTTCATGCGCTGCTCTGGTTCACCAGAAACGGCTTAGTCATGCTGACCACATGACCCGGAAGCTGTACGCCGGCTCCCTCAGCCAATAAAGTAAGATGAGAGCTGCAACCCCAGAGTCGGTCACAACTGGACCTAATGGTCAGGGGTCCCTTTACCTTTACCTTTATACTAAAACTAAACTAATCCTCAGCCCCATCAAACGTTCATCTCTCTCACAACAGTGAAAAACAGCAACAACATTTAAAGCATCATAGATTAACAAGTGTTTTAAACATTAAAAAAAAATTTTTTTTACATACTCAGAGTAAGTGTGGGCCCCGCCCCCTAGGCAAGGTAGAAATGGGCCTTGCAGCGGAGAGCGATCTTCCCTTCACACTCAGAGCAGTGCGTGGGGGACTTTTGCCCAATGGGACTTTCTCCCTTCTCCCCCCCTAAATCTGTTCTGAATCTCCCCCCCCCCCACACACACACTCTCTGGAACAGATCTGGGATGCACAGAGAGGAGTAGGAGAGGTAGGAAGTAATGCAAATCCTTGCACTGATGGGAAAGATACGTAGCACTACATTGGATACAAGTCCAAATGTTGCTTACTTTCCCCCCATTAAGTTATTGGATTATTATTAGATGTAGACCTTTTATCAGGCAAGCGCTGTCTCTGTAGCTCTGACATTCTTGCAATTAGCTGTCAAAGCTCTAATGAATGGTGCTTGCTCTGTTTCCAGGGTGTAGCTGTGTTACCTGTAATGCCACGACTTGTTTGCATATAACAGTAATTGATGTCAATTGCAGATGGTGTCCGTGAACTTAGAAATTGGTTTGTTTACTTGCTAGGGACCTTGTGTGTGTGGTCTCCTACTCTCCTGGCTTGTCACAGTGGTATAGATTACATGTGCAGTCTGAGTATTTTCAAGGGACATAAATTAGAGCAATTAAAATGAGCTAGAGGGTGGGGGGAGAGAGAGATGTATTATTAATTGGTAGAGTCATTAAAGAGCTGCGAAGAGCCTTAAAGAGATACAGTGTCAATACTCAAGCACCAGAAGTGACATAGTGTTCTCAGTAACCCAGGATGGTCTTCAGAGCCTCAAGCTACTGCGGACGCCGGCAATTATACAGATCCTTATGACTCTGCAGGTGAAGTCAAACTTGTTCCAACTTAGTAACAATACGCTAAATCAGAAGTTTTTTTAAAAACATAATTTTGAAGGAACAATACTTTTCAAATGACCATGGCAAAATTTATGTCATTCTGAGAGCTGTAAGCATTCATTTAAGGGTAGGATAGATACTTGCAAAAATAGCTAGCCCTGCATTCTAGTTAATGCAAGGAGGAAATGAATGTTTGTCTTTACTATCCCTACAGAGGGCAAAACATTGCAGAGTGTTATGATTACCTACAGCCTGCTGCATCTCTGTCATTTTTCCTACATGGAGATAATCTCAGTGCACCAGCTGCCCAGTCTGTCTGCTTGTGCCAAAATAAACTTTCATGTTGCAGTTTTTCTGTGATGGTGCACACACTTTTTCCTGCATGGAGATTATATTGGTGTGGGAGAAGTGTTGTATACAGAGCCTCTTCCGGATATTTTGCAGGGGGTTCATTTACATGAAGACCTGTGAACTCTGAGGCACTTATGTGCAACAGCAAAATTGTCAGGGATCTTGTTTTTGAGAAGCCCCACACTTCAAATGTGGTTTAAATGTATGGTGTGTGTGTGATCTTAGCCTCAGAGCTTTTATCTTGCTTTTGAAAATCATGAGACAGCAAGTATGAGCAGGCTACAGTTTTATTTGCACAGCAATCTTTTTTTTCACGAGGGAGCATAGGCAGAGATCTTCTGCGCATTCAAAATGGTAAGAGGGGTGACTATCACCCAGCTGAGTCTCCTTCCACTTTGAGAAGCTTTCCCAGGTTCCTGCTCCTCCATCCCACCTGTTGGGGGTTTCTTCTCAGCCTTGCCATCTTCCTCTTTCAGTTCCCTTTCTTGGATGCTCAGGAATTACAGGGTTCTCCTTGATTCTCATTATTCTCTCTCCATTTCCCTAAGCCTGGAATTTCCTAGTGCAGTCTTCTAAACTTTTCTCGCCATTCTGTAAATAGGACTCTACCAGCTCATCAACCCTGTTTTGTATCCTGGATGTCATTAAGTGTCTGATCTCCTAGAAACCCAACAATATTTTCAGCCAACTATTCCCTAACTAGAGCCAGGCAGACTCACACTCATTCCTTCCCAGGCAGCCTCTGGACTGTTGCCATGCCCTCCCATTCCCCAAGAAATCTCTCAGTCTTAAATTCTATTCCATGCTATGAGTTCTCTGTTCACTGTCCTTTCTTTCAAAGTCAATTTAATTTTCCATAGAAAATTACTTAGTAATCCTTCCATCAACGCATATTCCAGTAATTCCCCAATCCATAGATAATTATCTTCCGTTTCTTCCATTTCCAGTTGTGATGCAGGAACAGCTAATAGTTCTGTTCAATTTCACATACTCATCTCCCAAATTTTCCTATGAACTGCTTTTATTTTCTCTCTTTTTGAAGAACAAGTTCACTTGTTTCAAGCTGGAACTGTGCTTTTAAGAACAGTTTGTGCCTGTACAGTCATACTTTGGGTTGAAGTAGCTTCGGGATAAGTATTTTCGGGTTTCGCCACTCGCGCATGCGCAGATGGTCAAAATGACGTCACGTGCATGCGCGGAAGCGGCAAATCACGACCCACACATGCGCAGACGCGGGTTGCGTTCACTTCTGGATGCGAACGGGGCTCTGGAACGGATCCCATTCGCATCCAGAGGTACCACTGTATTATTGTATTGACAGCCTTTCAGGATGAATTTTTAACCAATGTCCAGTATTCCAGTTTGAACCAAAGCTCAAAGTTTCCACTGTTGTCCCATAGTTGCTAGAAGTGGTTAGTGTCTAACAATCTCATTTTAAAGAAGCGGATACAAAAACATACTTGAAATAATCACAGCAAAAAGAGGAAATAATTGGAAACAAGGACATTAAACACCTTTCATGGTTTCCATTTTATCCGGATAGATCTACAGGCTCAAGCTTTCTCGTATTTCAGGGTAGGGTAGGCATTTTAGACAAACACAAAGAAGTGGAGTATATCTATCAACTGCAGCTTAGCACGGGTGTGATTTTAGAACATGATACACAAACTAGATTATATGCATCAAAAATATGCGGATTTGCTGCAGTCTTCCAGCTTGTGATATATTTCTAGTGCTGCCTATGGTGCAATTTCCACCCCTTGTCTCAGTGCACAGAATTAAGTAAATAAAGTCTTTGCTGTGTTGAAAACGAGCACTTTAGAAAATCTTTATTCAGGGCAATCAAATGATTGCAAGTATAATGCTATCAAGGAAGGTAAAAGGAGCTATCTACCCAGGACTCTAACTGCTTAGCTTATATTCTTGTATAGATCTTGATACAGGCTTGCACACTGAAGAGAAGCAATAGTTCCCCATCCTCCCCCCCAAAAAAAAAGTTTGAAAGAGGACTTGCTGTTTATGATATGTACACTTTTGCTTCTAGTAACCAGATTCTGTAGGAGGTTGCTTTAAAAACAACAACACAATCTACCCAACCTGTTAAAATGATTCTGATGCAACAATCTCAGTCCACTAAACCATGGTTCATTAAATGGATTCAGGACAAGCATTTGTGGCCATGTGTTCTTTCCCTGTGGAGGCTGATCCATTAGGGCAAGTGGGACGCTGCCCCAATCAGTCTGCCCTCAGCCAGCCTCCACCTTACTTCCAAACAATCTACTGTGTGGCACTGGCTGTCAACCTCCACCCTTAGTGAAGAACTCAGCAAGGAGTTGGGGCCAAAACCATAAATAGTTGGCTGACTACAGTTGATTCTGGCTCCGCCAGCCATTTGCTCTGACTCCCCCTACTGCTTGCCTCCCTGCCTTACACCCTACCAGTCCCAAAGGGCACCAACATCCATTCTTTCCTCTCTCCTCTCATGTGTCTTAATGCAAGCATTTCCTGTTATGCCTGAGTGGAAGGAAAACTATGGTTTTAGCTCTGACTAGAAACTAGGATTGCAAACTAGGATGAAAATATGGTTTGCAGTCCTGGTTTGTAGATAACTTTACCCAGAGTTTCCTGGTTGAGACATACAGTATTGGGAAATGTTGGTTTATCCAACTCCAAAAGTATTGTACTAAGCTATGTTAAGGGAAAGGAGTGCACGGCTAATATTGTTATGTCTGAACTAGGCCAGTGATACTAAGGAAGTAGCAGGCCTCTTTCAGCTCACCTTCAACTCTTTTAATACTTTTAATACTTTTTAATACTGTCTGTATGCAGTATTAGGACTTATCAAGGCAGTGTGCCTCATGCTGCGCTTGGAAAAAGCATGAGTATAAGAAATGACACTGGTCTAGGTTTTCAAAAGCAGTCTGGAGTACTTGCAGGCACTGACATATAAAGGTGAAATGGCAGGGGGCCGGGTAGCATGTGCTGCAAGCCAGATTCATTCACTTTAGAGCTTTCAGGAGTCTTCTATATGTCAGCCCATATATTAATCCCGTTCCATTAATACATCACCAGTAGAAAGCAAGGGGCAAATAAGGTGGCCCCTGCCAATGAATCTGTGGTTGCCTGCACAGTTCAAGGAACACTCTGTTTCCACCTCATCAGAAGTGGTGCCATCAATACACGAAAAAAATGTCAACAAGATTCCTCCTTTAATTAACAGATTCTCAGAACACAAAAGCTATTACCAGTAAGCAGTTATCTGTGTCTGATGAAAATTTTGACACAAAATGTAAAGATGCAGCTTTAAACCCAAAGAATAAGAATTCCTAAATGGTTCTTGTTGCCTCCCATTGCTTACGAAATATTTAGCCATTACTGTTTCCAGGAACTCAGATTTCCAGTATCTCTTCTCCCGCCTTCTCCAGATTTTTCAACATTGCTTGTGATTAGCTTTGCTGTACACTTGCCAAAATGAATATTCTCTGTTGCTTTAGAGAAGCTGAGTGGTGTCAAAGTTCAGTTGCTGTTCTTCTGCAAAGGCCTCTTCCTGCCAAATAGGATTCCTCTGAGTTCCTCTGCCTTTAGAAAAAAATAAATTACAGGCCAGATTCTGAATCAGCGTGCAGTTGCCCTTAGACTGGACAGATGTGCACAGAAGCCGTGAAAGGAACATTCATAAAGATGAACTATTAGAACCAATCCCTTCTACCTAAAGTCAAATTGAAGTGCTCTATTTTGCATAATACTCTGATTTGTGGTTTGCTAATGAGTGTTTGCTTAACTGTGTGGTTTTCAAGCTGTAGCCCAGAGAACCCTGGGGTTCCTCTGAAGCTTATTAGGACTGCCTCAGTGTGAAGGTCTGAAACTGACTGCATGCTTCCCTGAAAGAAAGATCCCTCTACAGTGCCAGCCACAGTAGGTGTCCTGGAGGGCATACCTGGTTCATGTAGGGTGACTATGAAGCATAGCAGGATGGCCAGCACTCCACGCAAGAATCATAGAATTGTAGAGTTGGGATCTCAAGGGTCATCTAGTCCAACCTCCTGCAATGCAGGAATCACAACTAGAGCATCCATGACAGATGGCAAATCCACATGAACAGACCTATAAATTAAAACAGAACATTTTGCATCCTGCAGCAAGTTCCACAGTACACAAGCCAATGCAAAGGAGTCCCCGAAGGTAGAAATTTAGAAGTGTGCATAGGATTTTGATAAGTCTCAAACTGAAGCAGAATGCTCTGGACAGATATTGGGCTTGTCCCAGTTATAGCAAGAACTTTTCGGAGTAGTCCAAGATTGAAGTGGGGACCTCCAAATCGATTTGAAATTATTCTGAGATAAAATGAACTTTATAAAGGTGCCCAACACACGCACAAAAATACCTCATCCCATTTTATGTAATTTGGAAGGTTTTACCTACTTAGGTTATACCTACTTAGAAGGGGTGCTATACCAGAAAATCCCATCCAATTATGTAAAAAATGTTACATTTTTTGTTAAAAAAATCCCACAATAGCAAATGAGGGAGGCATGAAGCTTCATTTTTCTGAATCAGGATTTAGAATCACAACTGAATCAAATCGGGCAGCCTGTGAAGTCATTTGGACTGAACTGAGTTGTTTTTAAAAGTGCCAAATTGGGGTGAGTAACAAATCTGGTGGTCAGTGAACACCCATTGAAAGCTAATAGCTTAGCTATTCAGCTCTGGACAAACCAGTGCCCTGCAATGTGAATATTTTAGATTGATGAATACATTTTACGAAGGAAAAAAGAAGGTGGCACTTGCAGGTTGCTTCTGTATTTTGCTAACTATAGTCCTACATCCACAAGACTGTTTGGAAACCCAGATGTATGTTTTGGAGTAAGCGGAGACAGTTTTATTGACTGCCTCAAACCAATGACCAGGTTTCCACAGACACCCCCAAAAACCTGCTCCCCGTGGATGTTGCTGTATGTTTTAAAGATTTCTGGGTTGGAGAGGAAGCATTTTATCAGAAAATTGTGTGCAGAAACGAGAATATGACAAGTGAATAAGGATTCACAGGTTAGATAGTGATGGGTCAAATGTTTTTGACTTTGGAGATTGGCAGCATGCCATGATAAACATCTGCAATATTAATGGGCAACAGTTTCTCAAGTATTTTCACAAGTGAGCTGCCATTAGTAAATAAATAAAAACCTTGCAAAACTAACAGTATTTTAACAAAGGGAAAAAATGGTTGGATAGACTTTAGGCAGGTCAAGACCCGTATGCTCATATCATATCCGTAGTTCACTCTGATTCCTTCTGCTCATTCTTTGGGTTGCAAAGGGAAACCAAGACCCAGTGAAATTAATTGGTAAGGCTAACTTAGGGCCACTAAGTTCAATGGGTTTACCCTGAGTAGAACTTAGTGAGGTACGGTCCATCATGTTTGTTTTAAAGAATTGGTTTATTTTGTCTGCCACAAATACATTATTTTATTATACTCTTCTCTCATTTGATGGGAATGGAAGGGGGGAAATATGTTTTCTCACTGGTTATGCCATCTTAGTATATCTAATCAAATTTAATTATTCATAATCTGCCTTTGGCCCAATTCAAAATTTTAAGTGCCCATCAAAGTATTTGTTATTAAAGGAAATGTGAGTTAATTTGCAACTCAATGTGCTACCATTCATAAAAAAACCCTCAACATTTGCAAGCACCTGTAATGGGGCTGTGGCATTGTTCACTGTTCGTGTGTGTTCTGGTGTATGAGCATAGGGCTGTTCCACATAAGGGGGAATCCTGGATCCACATTCATTCAATACGTGGGAGGGTTTGTACTTTCAATATGAGAAAGATTGTGTGACTGTCTTCTCTTTTACAGTAAGGTCCTTCTTTTATCCCAGGGTTTTCTGTGCAAGCTATAATTAAAATCATTTGTTTTTAATTAGTTTAGGATGTTAACTGTATTCATTGTTTCCTACAGCCAAAGGAAGTCTTGAAGTGACTTTAAAAAAAATTATTGTTGTTTAGTCATTTAGTCATGTCCGACTCTTCGTGACCCCATGGACCAGAGCACTCCAGGCACTCCTGTCTTCCACTGCCTCCCGCAGTTTGGTCAAACACATGTTGGTAGCTGCTAGAACACTGTCCAACCATCTCGTCCTCTGTCGTCCCCTTCTCCTTGTGCCCTCCATCTTTCCCAACATCAGGGTCTTTTCCAGGGAGTCTTCTCTTCTCATGAGGTGGCCAAAGAATTGGAGCCTCAGCTTCAGGATCTGCTGTCCTTCCAGTGAGCACTCAGGGCTGATTTCCTTAAGAATGGATAGGTTTGATCTTCTTGCAGTCCATGGGGCTCTCAAGAGTTTCCTTTAGCACCATAATTCAAAAGCATCAGTTCTTCAGTGATCAGCCTTCTTTATGGTCCAGCTCTCACTTCCATACATCACTACTGGGAAAACCATAGCTTTAACTATATGGACCTTTATTAAAAAAATAAAAATACCAAAATCCAATATATAGAAATGCACCCCAAAACAATACAAGTATACCAAAAGTGTTTGTTCAAAACATCATTTAAAAACTAAAATATCCACCCATCCAACACAAGAGCATATGGTTTAAAACTGTAACAACTGGAAGAACAAGCAAATAGTAGGTCCTCTGTGTGGACAAGACAGAGAAATGCTGTTGGGTGACAAGAGAAGGCGGAACTGCTCAACACTTCAGCAGCCAGGCTGGTTCCTTTCATGTAAATTGATTAGAAGATTGCCTGCACATTTTACTTCATAATTTTCTGTCTAGGAGGTTCAGATGCCTACTTAAAAAGAAAAAAATGAATCCTGAGATTGAACATCATAGGCAGCAGGCTGGTTATGGCCCTTCCCTTAAGCCATTGGGTCTCAAACTATGTTTTACTGAAGTGTTGGTTTTAAATAAATAAATAAAGCTTGCATGAAGCTTTTTACACAGGGAAGCATTTAAAAATGTCATCTCCCACCTTCATCCTGAAGTGATATATCTGATTCTACCACCTTAGGATTCTGCCACCCCCTTCCTGCTGCATGTGTAGGCCTTGCCTGTATCATATCTAACACCAGATTATCACCAGGTTGCTATTTGTCAACTCTGTGTTAACAGGAATGCTTACAGTTGTTACTTTCAGTGGTACAGCATTAACATGAAGGGACATGTTGAAAAACTATTATCTTATTGCTTAGTAACATCAAAAACCTCCCGACCTGCACTGTTTCATTTGTTCTTTTTATCTTCTTTTCATTTCTGAGCCAAATTTTCACAGAGGCTAACCCACCTTTAGTTACTTGCCTCCAACTTGAATATGGGAACAGAGTCAAAAAAACATTTTGTCATGCTAAATAATTTGCTGTTGGACTCTGCCAAAACGTCTAGCTTTAATCTCCAGATGGAGACATCAGGGTAAGCCAGGGCAAATGACATGAATTTCCTCCTGCATTCTAGTTCTATCATAAACAGCCATTTGACAGGTGATAACTTTCGGCTGAGAACACCTGATTGTTAACAGCGTCAGTGAAAGCTGGTTAGTCACACAAGTCTGGCTTCACTTTGCAATACCTAGTGGAATTTTTCTCGTCATTTTTGTTTCGATTTTGGCAGTCTGGGAATTAAAGATCCTCAGGGGATCTGATGCGTTTTTTGATTGTAATATCAATGGCGGTCCATGAGAAAAAAATGAACTGCTATATCACATAAGTTGATAGGTGAAACACAGTTATTAAGACTTATAATCATAGCAGCATCAATTTACATTGCCTTTTTCAGGGTAGCATAAAAGGAGAGGGAGTGGATCCCTGCCCCACTGAGATTAAAATGTAAAATTTATTCAGGAGGAGACAACAGGGGAAAGGGAGGGTGACAGAGGAAAGTGTAACTGGGAAAATTTGTATAAATGCATTTACACACACTTAAGTTTGAGTAGGGAATGAAGGCTAAGTGGTGGAGCCAAAGGCTTCATAAAATTGTTAATGCCCAGTTTAGGCTGATTCGCCAGCTGTGGCCATTTCTGGACAGGTCACTTCACGCTCTAGTTAACTCCATTCTGGACACTGTAGTGTGCTGTGTGAGGGACTGCCCTGCCAGGATCCATCCTACTCTCGAGTAGGACCTTGGCAGAGACACATGCCCAACTGGCATGTTCTCTCCCTCCTGGTCAATCGTTTGGGAGCTTCAAAAGCTTTCTTCTGCCCAAACATCACAGTGAATGATGCCAACAGACGTCAGCACACTCAGGGATCCACAAAGTGTTTGCAGTTTGCGTAACAGAACTCAGCATTTTGGCTAATCTACTTTATTTACATATAAACACACACACTGCACTGCAACATGGCTCCCTGTCTCTCTAGCATCAGACAGCAAAGAGAAAGAACAAAGAACAATAGTCCCACTTCACGGAACACAGCAATACAAAACATCCTGTCTCCGTCACTTCCCACTCTTTGGCGTCAAAACATACACCGTCAGGTGTAAGACAACAACCCCATGACTGCAGACACAGGGAATGAATCTCCAACATGCCTTTGGACAGTCCAGAGGCTGCCACTACTGTAGAATGTGGCTGGTAAGTGTGGCAGTCCAATTGGACCATGTGTCACCAGCCCTGAAAGCGCTGCACTGGCTGCCAATGAACTACCAGAGCCAATTCAAGGTACTAGCATACAAGGCCCTAAATGGCTTGGGACTCCAAGTACCTAAACTTTCCCCATATCAACCATATCAGACCCTATGATTGGCAGGTGAGGTCTTGCTGGTGGTGTTGCCACTGGGGGCTGCCTGGCTGGTGCTGACCTGTGACAGGGCACCACGTCTAGGGTTACCCCAGCTTGAGGCTGGCACCTCACCCAGCCTCATCCGTAGTCCGGGCCTGTTGCCGTCCTGGACTCACATTAGGGAAGAAGGGTGGGATATACATTTAATTAATTAATAAAAGTGTTTGTTTTGATGAGTGATTTGAAGGAAAGAGACTTTAACAGCTATAGAGATAAAATAAGTGTAATGCTCTGGCAAACCCCACCGATCAATTTCACAAAGCTATTTGCACCTTGGGAAAGAGGTGCTTGTTATTCTGTTGCTTTCACAGCAAGTGGTATGAGCAGAATTAAAGGTGCACCATCTGATTTTGGAACACAGCTTCTTTTACCATAATGTAATGTTTCAGAATTTTAAAACTGTGAATTAAAAAGAAAAAGAAAAAAGCAGTGTACATAAAAGCTAACTGAAGTTCCTAGCCCTCGTGGTTTTACGAACAATGCCTAATTCCTGTTCAATGGATCTTAGCATGTCTAATTTCCTCTGGGTCACAGTAATTATTTTCAGACTTGGGACTATGACATTCAAAATGTTATGGTTTTAGATTTCATTATTTGCAGTCATGATTGTAAGGAGCTTGTTGCTCTCCCCAACGTATACCACAAATGTGCTTTCTGAAAGCTGTCATGCCGGTTCCAGTTAACGTCACTCTTGTGGTCAAACATTGTCACTGCTGAGCATTAAACTGTGAACCGAGATCTGAAATGCTCATTTTTGAATTGTGATAAGAATTCAAAGACTCTGAATTGCAAAATCCACCATATTAAGCAATTTGTGTTAATTTCTGAATGGAACATCTACTTTTAGCTTATGAACGTGCAGCTGATTGCACCTTGCAAATATGGTGACTTTAGCTAAACATGTCACTCTCAAAGAAAACAATCCCATGATGTTTGATTTGTGTGTTTTTTAATGTTGATTATGGCCATAATTGCCAGTCGTTATTAATTTTTATCAGAAATTTGCAGCAAGCTTGTATTTCTGGCTTTTCTTTGCAAAGACCCAAGGCATGCTAGCACAATCCTAATTATATTGGACATTATATCACATTCATCAGTTACACTGCAAGAGATTTCCAGTGTTGTTACCTTTGTTCACTGAGGGTCAAATTAGACATTGCAAGTGGAACCTGCAACAAAATGCTGCAGTGTGATTAGTATTTCCTGGTTAGTATTTCAGCCAGGATATGCCATGCCATTTTGCCCCCACCCCACCCCACCCCCCACAAAAAATGGTATCACAGGCAAAAATGACTTCCATAAGCAAAATAGCATCCCCATTTCTAATTGTAGAATGGTAAAACAACACAGAATTATTGAACAAACTTTTCATAGAATCATACAACTGTAGAGTTGGAAAGGACCCTGAGGATCATCTAGTCCAATTCCACGCAATGCAGGAATATGCAGCTTTCCCATACAAGGACTGGAACCTGCAATCTTGGTATTATCAGCACCATGCTCTAACCAACTGAGCTATTCAGGCTTCACAGCACCTGGAATATTGCTTTAGATTCACAATACCTGGAATATTGTAAGCATAAAAAGTGGTTTGGTGGCTACTTGATTTTAGGATGTGTGTTGGTCTATAAAGTGAGCATGTGGAAGATTATGGAACATGTAACTAGCCACATGCTTCCAAGTCTGGTCTGAACTTCAGAAGTTCAGCTAGCAATCTCCTCGTTCCCTGAAATATTTTTCAGCTGGTCAAATATGCTGCTTCATTTTCTAACTGTCAGGAAACCAGGCAAGAACTTTATTGCCTCTGTTAAAGAAGGCAGAACAGTAACAGGAAACTCCTGGCTCCTGGCTCCACCCACATACAACTAAATCCAGTGCCACCTAATGGCTAAACTATTTTATGACACTATCCACATAGAGGATGTGTGCTTTAATTAGCAGTATATGATAATTTTCTCTTGAAGACCCCTAATTCTATTCCATCATAACTTAGTACATCTATTTTTCAGGGTTTGCAACACCCCTTTCCTCTCCCCTCATTTACCCATAGTATGTCACTTTTGATTAAGCATTCATAAAGCCTTTTCCCCAGCTTCTAAAGGGTAAAAGTCAAAAATCAATAATGTGCCAGTCCTCCCTGAGTGCAGTAGCAGTCAGAGGTAAATGAATGATTAAACATGATGAATAACGGTGTAATGGAAGACGCAAAGTAGGGGAAAGTGCTCACTTTAGCCTAAACTCTTAGATTTATTGCTGAGTACTACAAATAATGGAATCATCAATCTTCCAAGGACTAAAAAAGGCATCCACTGCAGTAACTTTAAAAAGCGGTAAAAGAAATCTTACCACCTCATCCTTGATAGTTGTCACTGCCCATTTAGTACTGCCACAGTATCCAATTAAAACGTGAATGGGAAGAGTGTTTGTTAACTTGGCGTTGAAAAGAGGGTGTTGATATGGTGGATACTGGTGAGCTAAAGTGGTCACACCTACCACAAAAACAGCCTGGCTAAATTCAAAACTGGCCTGAGTGTGTTTGCCATTTAATTCTTACAGAGCAAAAATTTTGATATTGGAAATTGTTTATTAAAATGTTGTGCCAATCAAATTAGCTGATATATAATATCTCTGCATTGAAACCTCTTAAAATCATCCTACAGTAACTTTAATTGAAATGGACTGAGACAACTGGTATCGTGCATGATGGGGTGTGCATTTAAAAAAAAAAAAAGTATATTGCGTTGTGAATCATTTGAGGAGTTATCCCCTTGACTTAGGGATGGCCACTGGGATAAAAGTTTGAAAATGTCTGTTTCAAATGCATGAGTGTTTGAAGACCTAATACCTTTAAGCCTGATCTAGAAAAAGGACTTAATTTACAGCACACTAAGACAACTCACAACCTTGACTGAGAAGCCAGTGTGTTTAAACTTAGCCTCACATAGCAGTTTCGTATTTACCCTTAAGTTTATTTCATTTCAATTAGAGCATGTTTATGAGTTTGTGCACGTGAGAAATGATTCTCCTCATTTCCAAAGAGATGGCTTAGACTGTTTCAGCGAAAACAACAGCTCGTGACAACTTAAAGAAATAACAAATATCACAGAAGCTATTCACTTCATTCAATGTTATCCCAAGTCCAGTGGACTATAATAAGTGAAAGTTTATGCCATAATAAATGTTTTAATGTTTAAGGTGTCACAATACTCTTTGTTTAGGCTTCTACTAGGCAATAGTAGGAGTACAAGGCTACCTACCACATATTTTCACTGTGCAATTAATATGATAATCTGTATTTATAAGAGCTCATTGTTTAGTAGTGTCCATTTCACCTCTGGGAAATATAGTTTGCCCATGGGCAGAGTAGCTGGAACATTACTATAGTAATGTTCTTCAGCATAGTAGAGATGCAGTACCAACCCTTTTTGTTAGAAGTCCCACACATGTTACCTCTACACCCAGGAAAGCTTTTTGTTAAGGGGAGGTATGGGGGCTCAAGGAGGTTAGGGAAGACTTTCACATTATGTGGGCCCAGACTTCTAATTTCTTCAGAAAATAATTTGTTGCAAAAAAAGTAAATCTATAATCCTATAATCCACTGTATCTTCCAGTCCCCCGTAATGTAGCCTTGCTACTTAAATAAAAAATAAAAAATAAATAAATATTTATTTTAAATAAATATTTAAAAAATAAATAAAAATAAATAAAAAAGAGTGTTTCAATATGGGGTTTGCACAGCAAGGGAATGCACACTCACTGAAGGAATAAAAAATAATAATAATTAAGTTCTTATAAATGGCACAGATGTTAGATAATGGGAAGTTGTGCTATTACTTCCAATGATGATACAGAGCGTATGGGGGTTTTGCATTCTTCCAGGTATAGAATATAGTGTATCCGGTGATAAAATTGTAAAAGTTATTTTGCAACAATAGAAGTGCAGCTTGCAGCAAAGGAGTATAGTTTGATGAGTAATACAGGGAACACATGGAATATTCCAGCAGATAGGAAAGATCAAGTCACAGATTGTTCGTGTTTTAGGATATGTGTTTTGTGGGGTCTTAAGGATATGTAAAGGAAAGATAGTCATTAAAAGCCAGAATAGCATCTGGGAGACAGAAGGAGCAATTTAATGATAGCAGTGCTGGACTTTGCTGCTGCACACTTAATTCTTGGGCTGACTGTTCAAGACAGAGGATAAAAGTCAGAGGCCAGAAAGTTAGTTCTTTGCCTTAAAGAGGACAGTGTGCCAGAAGTAAATGAGACTGGGAAGCTTGATAAGACAATAGTAAACCTACAGCTCAGGCTCTTTGTCTCTTCTGACCTTGAGTAACAAGAAACACTTGTACAGTGATGGGAATCCTCCAACAAAAAACTAGATGTAAATAGTTTTAGGGTATTTAATGCCTTCCGTCTAACAGTGAGTAACTGGAATGGTTGTTAAAAGGGAAGATTGCAAACTTTTCCCCACAAATCCCGAAACCATAGGTGTGATTAAAGGGTGTGCCTAATGCCTAATGTCTTTAAAAAGTGCATTTGCAAGACCTTGCAGAGCTTTAGTAGAGCACTAGTTCCACCATGGTGACCCAGCTGCTGCCCCACGTCTTCCAAAGAGTTGTGCCCTGTGCCCCTGAGTGAGTTGTGGTGCCCATCTCCATCCAAACCATGAATGCCTGCAGTTTATATAGGCTGAGGAGGGATAGGCAAGAGTGGGAGTGTATTTTAATTGGCTTGCAAGGATCTTACCACTTTTGTGGAGGATTTGTTAGGTGAGTTTCCAGGTTAGACAGGAAGGTGAGAAGATATCATAGAGCAAACTTGTCAGAGTAACTTACGTTTTCCTGCTTCCCAAAAGGTAGCAAGCAGATTTATCTGAATGATTCTTTTATGCCTTTATGCCTTTCTGACTTTATTGCAATTTGGGGTCAAAGAACTAGCACATCAATGCCCTATGGGCTGTTCCTTCCTAACCAGCCAACCATTTATTGTACAAACAATTAATTTGCCTTGGGATGATGGTATTGATCTTGCATCTCCATTATAGTCAGGTTTGTTCCTGTTGCTGGATCCTGAAATGCTACTGCCTGATCCACGCATTCTGTCTTGTTGCTGGAAAAGAGGACATCCAGATCAGAGCATTGTAGTGTTTTGAAAGCAATCTGCACTACAGTCAGGTCATGGCTAGAATCCTTCATTGATGGGTGCTGGTGCTGGAGAAGAGTGTGAGTAAATTAGTTTCCCCATTAACACTCCTTTGACTGTGACCCTGGACTAAAGGGAAATATTGATGCCATCAGACAGACTGTGCCATGGGAAGTTCAGATCTCTTTAGCCAGTTTCTCCTACCTTGATTTAGGCTACACAGCATCTGCTGTTACTTGCTGCTTTTCATTCTGTTGCTAACATTTCCTTCTGGTTTTAAATGCAGTCTCCCTCCTTCCCTTTCTTTCGTTCTTTTTTGGAGAGTGTATATTTAATGGGGGGGGTTCCCCTCCTTGGGGCTAAAAATTGAGGTTTTCACATGCATTTTTCATGACTCAATTCTGCAGTCAAAAAACATTTTCCTTTATATCTTCAAACACATTTTTTTGCCTTTGTAACAACGAAAACTATCTCAAACTCCCTTGTTCATTTTATGAATTCAAGCTAAGAGCGTAAGAGTTGTTGGTTCTTCCAGGGGCTAGGAAAAGCCCATTAATTATTTGCATATATTTACTTGAATTATGCATATTTGAAATTGCCCACTGAGAAGCATGAACACTTAAGCTAGAGAAAGCTGGTTGGTCAGGGAATAATGCTGCATAACCAATTCCATTTTTAAAAGCTTCAGGATTTTCCTTTATCTGCAAAGAAGTTTATACTTCTGTTTTCGTGGAAACTAGGATGTGCAATCATCCTGAGAGCAGTTCCAGTGCTCTCTTACTTTCTTATCATCCTATACATACTGAACCAGTGTTGCTGAGCTACTACTACACATAATCTAGTAGTTTTCAGCAACAGCTTGTAGTCTTTCTTTCTTCCTAAGAGGTATAAGTGGAAATCTGATGCTGCCACAACCAGCATATTAAGAGGGAGACCCCAAATTTAGCCTCTTGAGAAAATGAGAAAATCCCCCCTTTTTCTTGAGACTTATACAGGTAGAGGGGAACTTCTATACATCTGTAACTTTAGAAAGTCTTTCAAAAGAAGCTTTATTTCAGTGAATTGACCTTCATTTAATGTGGGTGCACTGTGGAGAGCCCACATGACTGCTCTGTTGTTAGAGAAGCAGTGGACACCCTTGCTGGCATGCAGAGGACCCTAAGTCTACACAAGCATGTGAGGAACTGTCTCATCTTCCAGGCTGCCCCGGGAAATAAAAAGCACATTTTCTGCTCCTGTGGTGTTTTGAAGTCTTCACTTAAGGGGCAGGGTGGATGGGAGAATCTTCTCAGGAAGGAGACAGGACAACAGTATGATTTCAACCTTGCTGAAACTAAATCTGGGTTTAGTCCAGGGGTTGTCAACCTGGTCCCTACTGCCCAC